CTCACACAGACTGATGGTGAAAGATTGGAAAAGGTTTTTTCAGATGAATGGAAATGAAAGGAAAAAAAAAGCTGGGGTAGCAATACTTATATCAGACAAATTAGATCTCAAAGTGAAGGCCATAACAAGAGATAAAGAAGACCATCTCATAATACTAAAGGGAGCAATTCAACAAGAAGATATAACTCTGTTAAGCATATATGCACCCAACATAGGAGCACCCAAATATATAAAAAACTTCTGGAGGATATAAAGGGAGAAATTGAAGGCAATACAGTCATAGTAGGGTATTTAAATACCCCACTAACACCACTGGATAAATCCTCTAAACAAAAAATCAGCAAAGAAACATTAATGCTAAATGACTCACTAGATTAGATGGAATTAATTGATATCTTCATAACATTTTACCCGAAAGCCACAGAATATACATTCTTCTCAAGCACACATGGGTCATTTTCAAAGATAGACCACATATTGGAACACAGGCAAAGTCTCTTCAAATTCAAGAAGATAGAAATCATATCAAGCATCTTTTCAGATCACAATGGCATAAAATTAGAAATCAAGTACAATAAAAACAATGAAAAAAAATCAAACACCTGGAGGCTAAATAGCATGCTATTAAACAATGATTGGGTTACGAGAGAGATCAAAGAAGAAATAAAAAGCATCATGGCAACAAATGGCAATGAAAACACAATCCAAAATCTATGGGACACAATGAAAGCAGTTGAGAGGGAAGTTCATAGCTCTACAGTCTTACCTCAAAAAACAAGAAAAAATAGTAATGAATTATCTAACCCTCCAACTCAAAGAGATAGAGAGCAATAAGATAAGTCCAGCATAAGCATAAGGAAAGAAATAATAAAGATCAGAGTGGAAATAAATAACATAGAGTCAAAAACAAAACAAAAAAACAATACAAAAGATCAACAAAACCAAGAGCTGGTTCTTTGAAAGCATAAACAAGATTGATGAACTTCTAGCCAGGCTCACCAAGAAGCAAAGAGAGAGGACTCAAATAAACAAAATCAGAAGTGAACGAGG